GAAAATGAATGAAAATGAAAACAAAAGTTGATGGAAATTTTTTTTTTACTCAGGTTTAAAGAAGAAAGAGAATATCCTTTATATTTATTATATTGATTTAAATGGATCATTATCATTGTATGAAATTCTTTAAGATTTGTTTAACAAGTACATATATCCTCATTAAATTGATTTTTATTTATCTGTTAGTATGTATCTATCTGAGTGAACTTTTTGATGATCATCATTCATTAAATCTTAACTTGTCTTAGAAAGATTCATTTGAATTTCATATATATAGGTATATCTACCAATGAATGGCTTTAAAATGATTTGAAATCAGACCGATTTCATTTATGCAATTTTTTTTTTTATTCTTTTCGAAATCAATTCATTTTCATTCTTTAAAAGCCTCGTATTCTTAATTTGACATTTAAATCCTTCTCGTCGGGGGCGAAGGGGGGGGTGTTTCTTCTCTCTCTCTCTCTCTCTTTTCAATGAAGAATTTGATTCATACTCAAGATTCAAGCTCAATTGAAGTCATGATGATCAAGAGATCGAGCTGTCCGAAATCCTTACACTTTTCAAGCTTCTTCTAGATCATATACAGAGTTTGATCGATAGGCTTAACTTTTATCGAGGATCGATGATGAAGAAGTTTATAGTTGAATGAAGTGTTTTTTTAAAACTTTCGTTTTGGTGAAGATTACTGATACATAGGTCAATACCGCAATGAGAGATTTAGCTCTTTCTAACATACTCTTAAATGTAAACTTGTTATATAGTCTTGATTGCTTGAATGAAGGTGAGATTGAAGAGAGAGAGAGAGAGAGAGAGAGAAAGATGAGTTTGAGTTGGAATTGGTTAAGATCACAAACAGATAGATTGTGTTGTATCATTCAGATCTTCAATTGAGATATTAGATAAATCAATCTCAATTGATCAAGACTGTATTAAAGAACTGATAAATGATCTTCCATATACATACTTATTACTTACCGTCAGATACCATCTGATCTTTTCATCTCACCTCTCACGGCTTTCTGCTTAAAGTACAACACATTCTTGAATCCTTAATTTAGAATCCTATGAAAGTAGGTTGAAGTGAAATGAAATGAATTGTTTCTTTAACTCTTTCAGTAGTCCTGTCAACTTTATTCCGATTCTGATCTGGTGATGATGTTGTAGAAGTTGATTGAGATGGTGATGTTGAGAAGGATTAGATTAGATTGATTGTAAAGTGTGTGGTGAATGGAAGTCAGGTTGATGATGATGATTGGAGTAGTTGGTTTAATTTGAATTGTGATTTGATTTGATTGACTTTCAAAGTTGAGCTCGTTCTTGTTGGATATAAGATAAATCAAACTGGATGAACTCTCTATCAATCTCATTCGCATCGCATCTCATCTCATCATCTTCATCTCATCATACTCTAGGATTGGTTGATCCTATCAAAAGAAAACAAACGAAGTTTAGTTAAAATAACTTGCCATTTCTACCTTAACCACCTTTCAATCCAACCAGTCTGTTCTTCTTCTTCATCCGTAGCTTGGTACACTTTAATCTAACGAAGTCTTCTTAAGCCGATCACTTTCGAAAGCAACCAAAGCGAAAGAAAGAGAACACTTTAAACTTTTGTAAAACAGTCTGATCATCATCAGGGCTTGTGCCTTGAACTTCGATCTAACTCCAACTCGATCGATAATCAAAATCAACCATCCAATCGAAAAAAAGAAGACTTTGTTTAAAAGGGGGCTTTGGTTTTCGAATTCAGTTTGATTGATAACCCTTCAATCTGTTCTACTCCAACTCAAATCCAATTCAATCCTCATTCTTGTTTACCATCTCAATCAATCAACCAACCCTTCAGCTTACCATCCATTCAAACAATTGTCTCTTTTGGAATTTGACTGAAATATATCCCATCATGCCACACTTTCAATCTACACTTGACTCCAAACGAATGACCACCAAGTTTCATCATCCATTAAAACAAACCCATCATCATTCAATCTACTCCACCTTGTATCATGATCAAGACATCTCATCACAACCACAACCACCCCAATCACAACCATCCATCGAAACTCATCATCGAAACACCACTAGTTTCTCAAAAAAACCAAAACTATATCAATTCAATTCAACCGCACCCTCTTCACCCACTCAATCCACTTCATCTCTATCTACTCTACCTTCACCCTTGACCACCATCTCAAATGGATCTATCCCTTCTTCTTCCTCTTCCTCTGGTCACAAAACAATCGATGACAAATCTTCATCTGATCCAATCACAACAACAACAACAACAACAACAAACACGTTTAGTAAACCATCTTGGTCTAAGAAACATTTTGGTTTCAATACTATCACCACTACGACTACGACTACTCCTAACCCATCACATTCTCACTCAAACTCTCAATTCACTTCCAATTCAAAACAATCAAATCATTCAATCCCAACCCAATCTCTTTCATCTCATTCTCATCATCCTTGGTTTCTCAAATTAGAACATGATGAAAGACATCATCCGTTTGATCCTGATCAAGTTCCATATTGGTTATCATATCAACCAGAAGTCATAGATCAGTTAAGTTTCAATCCATTACTCAAACTCTTCAATCCAATTGAGAAAAGAGAAGACTGACTTTGTGAAAAAACAAAACATGGATCGGTTGGGTGATGATTAGTTATATCTTGATGATGTATGCTTCTTCAATCGATCCGTTTCGATTACCATCCACATCTTCAAATCCTTTAGAATTACCTAAACTGATCTTAGATCTAGGTTGTGGTCCTTATGGAACCTGGTCTCATGGGGTCTTCAAACGATATGGCGCTCAAACTCAAACTCACTTGAGAATCATCGGATTAGATCTTTGTCCAGTTCAATCAGTCTTACCCTCTCTTCATTCACATCATCAATCGGAATTCATTCAACACGACTTTCTCAATCATCCACTTCCTTTTCCTGATGATGTGAGTTTACTTGAGTTTGATCTACATCCACTCCATCGATGATCCTTCCTTACTTCATCTCCCTCTACTTCCTTTCTCATTCATTCTTTTCTTTTCTTTCTCTAGACTTTTGATTATATTCATTCATCTTTCATAGCCACCGGAATACCTGAAGATAAATGGTCAAAACTCTTAGAAGAGATTCTAAGGGTACTCAAACCAGGTCAGAAGTTTGAATTGATCGAAACGAACCTAAACCCGAATTTGAAAACCCATGAGATCCTAGACAAACATTTCATCTCACCCTTTCCGTTATCGATCATTCCGGCTCAGTTATCAATGTTAGATGATGGAAACTCGGTGGAGAGACGAAGGATTGAGTTTGAAGAGAAGATGAAGCAGGAAGAAGCGGAGAGGAGCCATTCATCCGAACTTGAACCGATTCAGACCGAAGATCATCAAAAGAAGATGAAGAAAAGTAAACGATCCTTGAACTTGAACAGTCAGTTAAACTTAACTTGGAATTTATTAAATCATACCCATCATCTCTCCTTAAACGTCTCACAAGCCAGAGCCGACGAAAAGCCGAGTTTGAATGGATCGAATCTGATGGGAAAAGCGAGGAGTGAGAGCGATCGAAGGTCTGGGATGATCTCACACTTGTTAATCGAAAGATTCGGTTGGAAACCCTTGATGGATTTACATTCGTTTCAAAGTTTAAAAGTTCAGTATCAAGATTCATTGAAGGGGTTAAGTTTGATGGAAAGCAAATTGAACGAATTGAAGACGAATTTGAAGATGAGAAAGCAAAGGAAAGAGGAGATGAAGATGAGAGGAGATGAATCGAATGAAGGGATGGAGAGTGTGAAGGAATGGATGGAGAAGATGATGTTGAAAAGATCGGAGATGAAGAAATCCTCTCAACTGATTCGAAACGAATTCTTGAATGTTCAAAACCGATTAGGGATTGAGATCGGATTGAGTGCTTCATTGAATGGAGTTGATTCTTCAGGAGGAGGAGGAGGAGGAGGAAATTCGAATGAAGAAGAGATGGATGAGAAGAGTTTGAATTCGAAGAATTCGATTAGGATCGAGTTGAGTGAAAAGAAGTTTTTGATTTTTTGATGTTTCAATCTTTTTTTCGATTCTTGAACTTTAGTTACTTATGAAATTGGGTTTGTTTTTATATCTATATATGTCTATAGGTCTTTCTTGGTATCAAAAAATTGAAGTCACAGAAAAAACCCTCCACATACATGAAATGTTTGAAGTTTTGTTATTTTGGATTTATTCTTTTTTAAGGTTTAAAAACCTGAATGAAGGGTATAAATTGAATTGAAAAAGAAAGAAAAAGAAAGAAAAGGAAAAAAGCACACATCATTCAAGAGGTGTGATGAGAAATGAGTTGAAAAATTCAAACTCATTCACTTTTTTTTTTGTTATTGTTTTCTTTTTCTTTTTTTTTTAAATTTACCTTTTTTTTAAAAAAATTTGATGATTTATCTGTTACTTTAGTCTAATTCACTTCATCTCTTTTCTAACCTCTTCTCTTTTTTTTTTTGTAAAACCTTCTTTCAAATTTCAAATCTGTTTTTAATTTATTTGAATAAAGAAAATATAAATCTATAAATATAAATAGATGTATGTATGTATGGTTTTGGTTTTGGTTTTGATTATTTTTATTCTTTTGAGAAAATCTTGATAAAAGTTTGGTTTTTGGTTTTTGGTTTTTATTGGGTGTGTGTTTTTTTTTGATAAATAAATCTCAGAAGGTTTGGGTTTACAAATGAGGTAAATTCAAATGAAAAAAGTCTTACCAAACTTTTTTTTTTAAAAAAAAACACAGTTTATATCCTCCCCCATCACACCGAAAAAAAAGAGAGAATGAGAGAGAGAGATTATATAAGATAAATGATTTTTTTTAAAAAAAATTAACTTATATATATCAAATTCAATTTTTTTTCTCTCTTTAACTCATGAAGTGTAGTGATGAGCATCAATTGTTTTTGAAACCTCATGTTTCATGGAAAAAAGGTGTCCGAACAAGAAAAAAGATCAGATCCCTCGAATCGGGATCGAACCGATGACCCTGAGATGCGCGCGAGTTTCACCAATTACAGTCTCATGCTCTTCCAACTGAGCTATCGAGGGCTATGAAGTTTCTCATTTTGTTGTTGTTTTGGACAAATCGTACCATAATACACTCGCTTAGTCATTGCAACGTAGTTCATCTGAAGATCAGATGATCTTCTTTTCACATTTTCTCATTCTCATCAGATCAAGTGAAAAGATCTTCACAAGTAGAAAAAAAGAGTCCAAAAAGAACAACTTCATCATCAAACCAAAACACAATGAATTAAGTTATGTAAGATAGATTGAATAAAGTAAGATCACAAGATCATAGCCAATTATAAGAATTCTAGAAACTCAAAAAACCTCAAGTCTTTACATTCAACTTGAATTACATGAGTGTTTCATAGAAGAATGTGATTATGGAATAACTTTACTTTTATCTCTCCTTTATACTTACTTACTTCGCAAGTTCTTTAAGAGATTCATTGAAAAATCTAGTATGTAGATCAGTTCAATTGAAGAAAAAAACAAGTTTCATTTTTTTGGGGGTTCAAATCAAGTAATTTTTCTTTTGGCGCACTCAAAAGAACACATTGACAAAAAGAAAAAAAACGACACGATTTGGAAAAAAAAGAGGTTTTGAATTTTTTTTTCTTTCTTTGGATATAAAACATTAGTATCAAGTGTTGTTTTTTTTTTCTTTTAAACTTGACTTTCAAAGTAATAAAGATTGTAATCTAGCTTCAGTTTCGATTAACTAGATCAAACGTATCAACCCAAAAAAATCCAAATGTAAACCAAATCAATTTCAGTCGAACCACAATTAAAAAATCATTAAAAGAATGAAGAACAAACCTCAATAGCTTGTTTCACCTCTAAATGTCTCCTTGCTGCTTCAAGCCAATCACGAGCCAATACCTTCGGCCATCCTTTCAATGCGTTCAACTCTCGTGTGGCTCCATCTAAATCTTTCCCATTTAATAAACTCTCAACTCTTGTCAAGACTGTCATCACATCATCACCTTCAATCTGATATCCACTCTGTTTGTTCATAATCAAAAAGTGACTTAGAAAGTATGAGGCAAAGTAAGCTAGAAAACCTCCGTGATCAGGGAAGAAGGCAACCGATTGAACTCGAGGCGCTACTGATTCTTTGAACCAGATCGTCAAGTTTGGTAGGGTCTCTACTCCATTCTCAATCGTCTGAGATGGTAAAGTAGAAAGAGCAGTTGAGATGACGTCAGAAGTAGGTTGAGTAGCAGCTATCGCAGTGTTATTGACAGCTTTGAGAGCAAGGACTTCCTCGGTGAACGGGCGTTTGAAGCTGTACTCGAACACTCGTGAAAGTGCTCGAAGACCATTCCAGAGTTTATGAACTCGACGATTCTGGTCTAGATACTCTTCGTTATCAAGTGTGGCTCGTCCAAGTTCTTTGATACAGCTCTCCAATTCGATCAGCTTGCTCAATCGACCTTCACGTTCTTGTTCAACTTGGGATTTGATCTGTCTAGTCCATTTTCTTTGTAATTCAAGTCCTTTTGAGATCACTTCTTGTTTCAGACGTTCGTTGATCAATTCCTGTTGAGTCTCTAGCTCCTTTTCTAACTTTGTATTGTAAAACTTCACCAGTCTTTGTCGTTCGACTTCAAAGGCGTCCTTCCAGTCGTCTTCCTGTTTATCAAGACGTTGATGAAGATCTCGTTCAGCATCAAGTAAGAGCTTGCTGTACTGTTTAGCTTGAGTATCCAAAGAGCTTTCAAGATGTTGACGTTCTTCAACCTTGATTTTCTCCAATCGATGACCGAGATTCTTCAATTCGACTTCAGCACTTGCCAAAACTCTTGGGGCATCGTCTCCACTCTGGGTCTTGCCTCGTACAACAAGATCTGGATTGTCTCGCAAAAATCCAGCGAGATTATCGATCGTAGATGCCAACTGTCCAAGGACGGGCTCTGAACCGGAGAAGCTTCGGACGCTGGGTGCAAGAAGAGGTAAAGAGGGTGGAGGGGGAGCAGCGGTGGTGGATGGGTCTCGTGGCCTAGGGACAGATCCAATGTATCCAGGTGGTGGTTCGTGTCCAATTGGGATCGATCCTGGGTAGATGGGAAGAGCTCCAGTAGAAGAGGGAGTGGTCGATGCTGAAGTCGCCGTGAAAGATTCTGATACAGCAGGTGAATTGGAATTTAGGCTTTGCTTAACTTGATCAGCTTTGGCTTTAGCAGTCGATTCCAGTTTTTGAGAAGATTTGTTGATCTGATGGGCACCTGCAGCTGCCAATTCTTGTCCTCGTTGTACGGCTGCTTCTGTTTTTGCTTTCATCTTCTCAACATTGGTCTCTGTTTTCGATTTCAACTTGCCCTGTTCTTCACCCTTGATGGATGTAGTAGATTCTGAAGGAGAAGTATGAAGGGCGTGGGTTTCAGTGAGGCCGAGTGTGTTTTTAGCACTCGAGATGACGTCCCCTGTAGCCTCTACCGCTCGTTTGGAGACGTCACCAATTTTCTCTAGATTGTATTCTTCAAAATAATTGACAAGTTCCTCTCCAAGTGGTACGTTTTGAGTAAAGAAGTCATTTATCCATTCATTTTGAAATGAAGCGTAGATGCCTAGTTTGACCAAATATGTGTCAACATCATCCTCATCATTATAATCTTGGCCCAAAGACCGATACATCCACACATCCCAATGAACGTTTTCACCTACCAGCACCGTAAAAGACTCCTCCGAAAACCGCCGTAGGTAAGACGAACTTCCGTACCAGGCCTTTCCGCTTAGGTGTAGGGGGACTCAAGTTAGCGGCATAAAGCTTTCTCGATCGATCGAAACAAGATGGTAAGTCAGATATGCCATCATTTTACAAAGTACTTATAAATACTAACTCGTCTTTGAGCCAAAGTGATCCGTGAGCTCATGGATGTTTGACGAATAGCATGGTTGAGAGGAACGATCGAGTTAGAAGATCTGATTGACATCGTATTCAAAGACTTCCCCTGACGAAGCTGAACTCGATTCAATGATGAAGGCCTCAAGCCTGTCATGAATATAGTATACAATGAAGTATTGGTTGAAGAATGTCGAAGTGGATTGAAGCTTGAAAGTGTTGATCGATGTGAAGAGATGAAGCTATCGGGTCATCAGCTGCTGTGGTGTTTACACTTCCTGCAGGACCCGACTTCACCCTGTGAGCAAGGCGGTGACGGGCACGAGATGCGGGCATGTTGTGCCCGTATCTGAGTACAACGTGCCTCAAACTCCATGGCGAAGCTCTCATGCTCTCAAGTTTCGAGTTTCAATGTTTAAGGTAGAGTCAAATGAACTTGGAGTAAGGAAGTGGTATAGTTTTCCACCTACAATCCATCAAGATAACACTGTCAGGATTGGGACTTTTGAAAAAGGAAAATCCTTTGATGCTTTTTGTTTCTGCCTACAAAGCTCTCATCAGCTCATGAAGTGCTGTTTACATTTGTGTGTGCCAGTTTTCAAAGTCTACTCAGATCATGAACAACTTGTGGATAAGAAAATATGAATCTACTACTCATGAAACTGGGCCTATCTTAGTCCGAGAAAGGCAAGAGAAGTGCAAATTATGTGGAACATGAGATACATTTAGAAAAAATGTGGGACTTGTAGAAAAAGTTATGATTAAAGAAACAGTCATGTAAGGCATCTTTGTATCAATCATCATTTGAAAATCAGCCTTAAATAAGCATAAGCAGAACACCCGAACACCTCACCCCATTATCAGTCCCAGCAGCATCAAATAGTTCAAAAACACATTTTAAGCATTTGTGGTTGGTGGCTACGATAACGTGTTGGGGTGTTGATTTGGCCTGGAGGAGAACTCGGAAGCGAGAGGGATTAGCGTGATACTGGTGAATTAGGACGGAGAACAAAGTGAATAAAGAATTGATCAGGAGAGCAAATGGCGGAAGGAGCAAATCAAGGCTGAGATACAAGCGACATTCATGTGAAGATCGTATGCTTTTCCCGCCTTGCTGATTCATCCACTTTACAATATGATGCCCACCCAAACTGTTGTGTTCACCTTTGTCTCGATTTGGAGTGCGCAGGGTGTACAATCACCCAAATCTTTTATCAGTCATTCTTTCTACTAGTACCTGGGCGCACGTCTTCTTTGTATGTTTTGAAAGAGATCTATCTTCAAGAAAACTGTGATAATTTGATGCATTTGGATTGTTCTTTGTGTGAAGCTGATTCGTGTTCAAGATTTGTGAGACTCTTGCCATGAATGTGGCGGGGATTGGGTTTATCACATCAAAGATTCTTATCTTGAAACAATAAAATCCACTCAGATAACTTTGAAATTGGCAATGTGTTTCGTAAAAATCAAATGTAGTAGTGACAACTTAACACAAGAGCAAGTCTGATTTTGGCATTTTGTGAAGGTGAGATTGAGTATTTGCACTATCCAGTTTTACCACTAAGAAAATTCAAACAACTACAAGATAGTAAAAAAAGAAAAGCTCAAGCAAAAAAGATGTAAATTTGATTTATGATGTAAGAGTTTGAAAGAGATGATCGAGGGTTGTTCTCCAGATCGTTTTCTTCTTCCACTCCAACTATAGTAGATTTATGCCCGAGTAGATTTGGTCATCACGCTAGAAGCAACCTAGCATCATGAATGAATAGATTCTAGCTACCTGGCATCAAGAAAATTCACCCTATTTTTCCAGTCCCCACAAAAATCCTAACAAACACAAAGAATTGACAAACAGAATACATAAATAACATATTGAAGAAGAATAAGACAAACTGAAGATTCGTTTCTTAAATAAGGTTGGAAATACATTAAAACTCTCATTTCAAGCTCGGTTCAAGCTTTCTTGAATTCTGACATACCAGAGGACTACGTATTTTCTTCAATCGGAATGAAAGAGATATGCTGTCTTTTTGTGATGTGTCAAGACCTTGATATACTTGAAGTAAAACTCATCACTTGGAGTCTCAGTGGTAAAACCAGTACTATACAAGGGGTTGTCAAAATTAGAGAACGTAAGTCAGTACAGATCAAGAAGGTGAATGACAAAAAACAAGTCTCACCAGAGCCGAGTATCCCA